AATTTGTCTACTGGGATTCCTGAGTTCTTATAGTTATAGAACACAATTCATTAAAAATTTTAGCCAGATTAATCGCCACTGCATTTTAGATGGTTGAAGAGGAAAAAGTTATGTCTGGCACAAAGTACAATCTCAGTAAAAGTTGATGAATGTTGAAGATATTTACTCTTCAGTTTCCCTGGGAAACCTTTCCTGCCAGCATCTTTCCTCAGAGATGGCCTCTGAGAAGGGGCGCCAGCAGGTATAGGGCAACTGGCAGTGTCTGCATATGGGGTCAAAATATAATATTTTGAGATTCATTTTTAGAGACCACAGATTAAATTCATTGTGATCACTCCTGGTATTTAATAATCCCTTTGTTTAAGAAGAGCATAGAAGTAATAAAAGGGAATCACCCAATTTTGCTATTACTGAAATTCTTTGACTGGGAAACAAAATCTTAGAAGTGGTACAGCGTAGAACTTATAAGAAGAATCTGAAATTAGGACTTGTGAAGAAAATTTAATGGAACTGGATTGAGTTTAGCCTAAAGGAGAGAACATTACTGAGTAACCTAATACTTTGAGAATATATTCATTATGTAATGAGCCCAAGATGAAATTAAACCAGAGAGTATTATTTATCCATACTGTATATTTGTCAATGGGTCATTATAATTTTATATTACAGGGCTGTTGAGGTAGTATAGTGTTGAAGCAAGTATACTGAATTTGGGGTCAGGAGAACTGAATGCTAGGTATTTTCTAACTCTATCACCTAATAGCCGTATGACTCTTGAAAAGTCAATTAATGCTCTCAAACTCAGTTTCTTCAATTCTAAAATGGGAGAGAGGCAGGAATTGTTCTACTTACTTTATGACGCTGTTTGGAAGGTTAAAGGAGATAATGGCTATTAAAGCTCTTTATTATCTATAAAGTTCTAGCCACAGGCACAGCAAGCCCCAGTGTTATATAAGTGTTCTTATAAAATGCAGACAGAATTGAAACTGTGGGCACTCCTTCCCCAGAGGTCTTTAAACACAGAGCATCTCCGGGTCCAGATGTTATACCACTGACTTCCTGAAGGCAGGGGAATGAAGCAGAACACCTTGAAATGTCATTCCACTCCAGGACTCTCAGCATCTGCTGGTTCCCTCAGGCCAGTGTGTCAGAATAGAGCAGCCAATGTGACAGAAGTTGTTTTCTTCTTTTCTAATTTTTGGATAGTTTTCCATCCAAGTGGAATTGAGTAAGACACATAGGGAAGAACACTGGGATCTAACCAAACACCTGCTCTGGGTTGGATTTTCTCTCCATAAAGTGAGTCCTCCTGTTTTTTTGCCATAAGTTGACTTGTTTGGTCTGACTTCACATTGCTTCTCTGTTGAAAGACATTGGACATATTTATGTCTGGGGTAGAACTGATTCCCTAGAGGACAATATATATTGATTTTTGAACTTACGAAAGATTCTCTCCTTTGAGGATGGTAGAGATATCCCCAAAGGTGCCCTTTGACTTATCCATAAGAGGAACTATTATTGTCTTGGGAGCGAATGGTCAGTCTTCCTCACAGAGAGGTAAGAAACCAGGGAACATGACAGGGAGGGACAGGTGGAGATTTTTTGGAGAAAACCTAGCCCGTTATTACCACTACTCCCTCCTGTAGCACAGTCTCTGTGTGGCCCGTTAGTGGCTTAAAGAAGCCACTTTGCTGATGAGCACAGGGCTCCACAAGTGAAATTGGAGTGGGGTGAAAGGGGAATGGAGAGAATGACAGAATATTAGAATTTGACGGAAGCAGTAATCTTTTACCTCAGCCTCCCACTGAGTGGGCACCTCTGAGGTGGCCATGGTTGAGACTAATAGGCTCTGACTAATAGGCTACCTCCTGAGAAAGCCTATCCTGGCCTTGGTCGGACGAGGCAAGCCATGGGAAAATGAGCTCATTTTGTGGTGAAATCTTTCTCTTTTAAATTATACTCCATGGTTTTCTATCATTTTAGAGGATTCTAGGCCAAATCTGTTTTTCTTTCAGTTACCAGTCCTTTCATTATCTGAAGAAAGTCCTCATGACTTACCTTGTTTTTCTTCTCTGAATTAAGTCTGCCATCTCCTCCAGCCACTCTTGAAGAACATATATTTCAGATACACTATACCTTTCTCTCGTACACACTGAAGTTTTTTTTTTTTTTAAAGTTTCTCTTTTCCTATCCTAGAGGTTATAGAGCCCCCACCTTTTATCTGGTTCCTAGAATGAGAACTATTTCACTTAAAGAGTTGAGACTTGAATTGAGACCCATCTGATATATAGGTGGGTCTGATAATTTGTGCACTCACTTAGATGAGAAACAGGAACCTCCATTGTGGTTCTGGATGCTTGGGTTATGCATGATCAATGGCCCCGAAGGGGCTTCCTGTGCAAAAATACCTGGCATTCCTGAGTCCTGAGTTCACTTGGAGATACCCTTTCAGAGATTTCAAATATTTCCAGTCCTGAATGGCAATTTTAAGAGAAGAAAAATTACAATATGTTCTCTACTAATCAAAAAAGTTTGCCAATGTCTCACTCCTCCTGAAATTCGAGGAGGGAAACACCAGAATGCCAAGCTGGTGGCTTGAATGGTGCACTGACTTGCTTTGTATCTTCTTCTGGGTTCCTCCAGACAGGCAATTGCAGGACCCCTGGCTCCCAGAGTTAACATGGCTTCAGGCCACAGCTAGGAATTAGCAGACACAGAACACAGCACCTGGCCCCAGAGGCTTATAAATGAGAGAAGGAGACACCAAAGGCTGAAATCATTTCCTAGCATTTACTTTCATCCTTTCCTGTGGACTCTGCTGCACCAAAACCACACCCTTCCTGTGAGACCCCATCCCAGAACTGCTGAGGGCTCTTGCTCTTAGTAGTTACTGAGCAGAGTGTGGGATGCAGCACTGAACTTGTACATGGCAGTCCCTGTCTGATAGCTGACAGTCCAAGGTGGCACAGCACAAGTCACAGCTACCAAGGTCTAGGATGGGAGAGGTGGTAAATCAGCAGCAGTTTACAGGAGAGAAACAGGGTTAGTGATGTGAGTGAAGGGCCCACAATTCCACAGAAGAGCAGTTGCAGGGTTATACTCAGAAGTCAGATCGGTTGACTTCTAATCAAAAACTCTCTTTAATATCATAGGTGTAAAATTATATGTGTCATCTGTATTTACATTCATACGTATCTTGTAAAGATACATATGTGTGGGTGTGTAAAATTTTCTTTGTAGGAGGCTTATTTCACTCATATGCTCTAATTTGATTGTCACAATAATTCTCCTAATAACCCTTCTGACAGTAAGAGAGCTGAGGCAAATGGTAGCACTGGATTCACATCCAGGCCTGGTTCCAGCTCCCTCTTCTTCCAATTGCTTGGCATTGTTACTGGATCTCAGTGGTTATTACCAAGTCCTCTTCAGGACCCCTGTGGAACGACTAGATATTAAGTCAATTCCTTCTACGGGATACTCATGGTCTTCCTGACACTGGGCAGGCTCAGCTCCTAATCTCTTCAGTTCTAAAGGACCTTGAACTGTCACATTCGCTGCTGAAGAGTCGGCCCCTCTGCCACACATGACTTTTAGGTCATTACTGAATGGCAGTGGAGACTTGAACAAATGCAGAATCCTCAGAAAGTCAGATCAAGGGTGACAATTTTAGAGCTGCAAGGAATCTTACCAAATATATAACACCCCCTGAATTTTGTAGACAGAGAAATCGAGGCCTAAAGATTCAGGTTAAAGGATTTGCCCAACTCGTAATTATTTAGTAAACCAAAACCAAGTGTCCTGCTGAGGATGAAGACTGGGAATTCTTCACACCAGTCATGAACTGCTTGGAAGTTGAGAGAGAGGGGATAAAACAGTCAAAAGAGTTCCTCTGATACAGGTAGGATCGAGAAGGAAAAAAAAAAAAATAGAAGCAATGTGCATTTAGCCAGAAAACAGAGCCAGAATGTGAACTAAGACTGAAAATAAAGATCTAGGGTGGGCTAAAAAACTCAGTAAGTGACTTCCCAGATTGTGTTTTGTTCTCATTGCTCATACAGTTGGAAGCCAAATGCAAGCCACCAAAGTTTCAGTGCAACAGCGAACAATTAAAGCGCAAATAGTTGTGGGCAGCTGTGGGAGTGCAAGCCACCTGCTCCAAGTTTACGGCTTTGCTTAACTTGGTAAGCATTAAAAATGGAGTGGGAACACTCCCAGGACAACAGCCCATGCCCTTTCTGGGAGGCCTTACTCGGGGAGCTGGGGTGGCTTTACCCTTGACCAAGCCCTTCTCACTGTGGCCTAGAGCTGCTTTCTATTGATAGTAGTCAGTATTGTCAATAGACCCTAATAGAAACTGAGGGAGGGAGGGAATATTGCAGGATTATATATTTATAGAGTTTTAAGAGACATCAAAGCCCCCACAATACACCTTCTCTCCTGTTGTTCAGATAAGATTGAGATCCAGAGAGGTAATGTACCCAAAATTACAAAGTTAGGGGCAGAACTTAGTTAATGTCTGAACTTCTGATCCTTTGTTCAGTGCTCCTTCCTCTAAGCCCCACAAGGTTTATAAATAATGCCAAATAGGGAATCACAGCATTAGAGAATATTATGGCTGGAAGGGACATTGTTCTCAATTCCCAGTGTTTTAGGTTGTCACATAACTAGGGAGTACTATAGGAAGGTGCATAGGGCCCAAAGATGCTAAATAGTTTGAAATGTGGTCATCCCGCATAATGAAGAATCCCAGATATCAAGAATCACCTTGTTGAGAAATATTTTGTCCACCATTTTACATTAGAGTTGAGTGATCCAAGCCTAGAGACAGGAGATGCTTGACTAGGTTCCCAAAGGGAGTCAGTATTCCCCGACTCCATCCTACTGAGCCCCTGAGTTAATTAGCAGCACCCTTGGTACCTTCAGCAAAGGGGAGACTCTAGACCCTTGCCTACCAGCTCCTGTTGCCCTTGCACCTAAGTTATTTCCAGGCCAGCACTTACTTGGACTTCAGACCCTCCTGTCCATAGGGCTGCAGCAGATACTGGTGCACAAGCTTGTCCCTGAGAGTCCCAGCCAGTTTTATTTTCTTTCTTGATCTGTGCAGGTTGATGATAAAAAGCGTAATGGACCCTCGCACATAGTTGTGGCTGAGATTCAGAGAGAGAGAGAAGATGGAAATAGTGGTCAGTTAAATGTCTCTAAATAATTTACAGACTGCATGAAACACGACAACCCTAGGAAAGGGCACTTTATTTTATGGCTCTTGGCCACCCTAGACCTTCAAAGACAGGAAGGGCTTATTATTGTGATTTTCTGCAAAGAAGTTGCTCACGTCTCACCACACTCCATTTGTTTTTGTTTAAATGCATTGCAATGATTTGAAAAACAAAAAAACAAAAACAAAATATATTTTTCTGAGTATGGAAGTAAAACATGCTAATTATAATAAATAAATAAATAAATAAGTAAATAGATAAACAAATAAATAAATAAATAGAAAAAACATACAAAAATACAAAAAAGAAAATCTCCATAATCCAAGTATTTTGGAATATAATAACATTTTGGTAAACATCCTTCTAGTAGTTTTTAGTTTATTAATTCAACAATATTTACTGAGTATGTGGCACATGCGTGCATATTTCTCAGTTTTTACATAACTGGGATCACATTGTTCACACAGTTTTTTCAGCTCATGAGCATCATAAACATGTTCCCATCTTATTATGTAATGTATTCTGCTTATAAAAGAATGCTAAATTAAATCATAGGAATGCAACATAATTTATTTACCTAATGCCCTACTTTGGGGCATGTGGGTTGTTTTCATTTGTTTGCCATTACAAATTATGTGATGAAGCACTCTGCACATAAACCTTTTTCACATCACCATTATTTCTGATGGATGAAGTCTTCAAAGTTGGAAACATTAGGTCAAGGGAAATGCACATTGTATGATTCCTCACCAACTCTTCATTCCCAGTGGTGTCCCTCCCTGTGGAATGTTTTCTGTCCCTGCTCTGTTGAACCCTACAGTGCTCACATTATTGGCTTTGCTCAATGAAATGTGGGTGGTAAGGCCTCTGGGCAGAAGCTTTAAGAGCCAACCCATGCTTTGCCATGCCCCCTTTCTCTCTGCCAGAAGACCAGCAATGTTCTTGGCAGAGAGGCCCTAGTGACCTACATCCTGGAGTGAAGATGATGTGGACCAGAGCTGCAGCTGAGCTGTGACAGACAGGCAGTGTGAGTGAGAGATACATTTTCTTATCGAAAGCCATGGATATCTGAAGGTCCTCTGTTATCACAGCATAACCTCACTGATCCTGACACACACATTTCGATAGCACTGATAATAACTCTTTAGAAAGTTTGTATCTTTTTGCTCTAGTTGACTATATATAAGAACACACATTTCCTCATACCTTTAAAAAGAGTGGACAACTGTCTCAACCTGATAAGTGATAATGGGACTTCAATGCTGTATTAATTTGTATTTTTAAAAAATTATATTGAGGTGCAGCATTTTTTTTTAATTTGTCTATTTGGCATTTAATGTCTTCTTTTGTAAACTGATCATGTCCTTTGCCTGTTTTCTATTGGTTTATAAAAAATATTTATTTATTAAGGATAGTGATCCTTTGCCTGCATGTATGTTACAAAATGTCCCCCAGTTTTCTTTGACTAATTCAGCTTGTTTACATTGTATTTTATGTATAAAAGTTAAAAGTTTTATGTAGTCAAATTTATTGATCTTTATCATTTCTGCTCTCGCTGTTTTACCCACTCCTAGCTTATAAAACTCTTCACCATATTGGAATCCTTTTAAACCAGTACAGGATGTTCAGAAGCCTGGGAAAACTATATGCCTACATGGCCTTTCAATGTATATCAACAAAACTATAATGATTTCCTTCTCTCTTGTAGGAAAAAATGTTTTGTTTTTAAGGGGTCCCGTAAGGCCCCATCTGGATGGGTTAATGAGAGGAAACAGAAAAAAAGACCTGGTCCTGCCTTCAAAGGAGGAGTTCAGAGAAACTCTATGTCAACTTTGCCCAGAGGAAAAGATCATTCCTTGCAGAAACAGCACCCTTCCGCCTCTGGATCACTCATCTCTGCTTCTAAGGGTGATAATTAAGAATTGAGCCCTAGCTGGCTTGGTTCAGTGGATAGAGATTCAGCCTTTGGACTGAAGGGTTCCAGGTTCTATTCCGGTCAAGGGCACATGCCTGGCTTGGGGGCGTGATCCCAGTGTGGGGCATGCAGGAGGCAGCCAATCAATGATTCTCTCTCATCATTGATGTTTCTATCTCTCTCCCTCTTCCTTCCTCTCTGAAATCAATTAAAAAATATATAAAAAAGAATTGAATGACCAAGGGCAGTTGCCAATATGACAACTGGTTTATTGTTTTTTTAATAACATAGTTTCCAGGGCTCATCCTTGAATTTTTTTATTGCATTCATTTGTGATTAGAGCCTGGGAATCTGTATTTTTAATCTCTCTGTGATATTGGGCAGATAAGTAGGGTTTGGGGACCATTTTCCCAGAACAATCCATTCAGATTATGAGAAGAGTAACCAAAGTATACCCCACCAGCTCTCTGTCATGATTTTTCTTGCATATTATTATGTTCAAAGCTTCTTGTATACCTACATTGATATTCTGATAAATTATTAAATGAAAATGTCTCTTCTATCTGGTTCCTCCTCTTCTGGTCCTTCTCAAGCCCCTGAAATGTGTGAATTAGCTTTTGGAACCAAATGAGTTAGGTCAGAAGAGAATGCCAATTTATTTAAGCAGGCTTGTGTCACCAGAGCTCTGAAGAAAGATGCTCCAGTGTGTCAGCACTTACCATCATTAAAGAATACCAGTGGTGGGCTTTAAACTTAACTGTGTGCAGAACTGAGGAAGACACCTTTAACTACTGCTACTCTGGTTCAGAGTGTGAATGAATGTGGGCATACATGGATATCAGTTTTGCTGACTATGGTAATCCCTTTGTTAATAATCATCATACAACCTTCTCAAAGGCCAACAGTGGAGGAGGAGAGAGCCTGTGCTTGCATTTATGAGTTTCTCTTCTGCAGAGCCGGGCATAAAGACGCCTCAGAGACTGGAGAGCAGAGGGTAGGAGGTGGGGAAGTGGGAGTGGGGTTGGGGGGAGAGAGACCTGAAATCACACATCGCTCCAGGGAAAGCCATCTTTTCAAGCTGCTTGGCAATGGCCTAATTTCCATTCACATAGTCCCCCTGAGGTAAGCAAACCAGTATTGAAAACCTGCCCAGAGATTACTGTGCAGAAACTCTCAGAACTCCCGCAGCCTCCTCAGGTAGGAACTGGCTTGAAGACTGCCTCAGCCAGACCTTCCCTGCTTGGCTGATGGGCAAGAGCATTAAGCAGGCTGTCTGGCTGGGAAGACACACTTTTGGCTGGGCACAGTACAGCACCAAACTGAAAGTATTGTGCTGAAAATCCAGGTTCCTGAAGAATGTATATTCTCTGCCTATAGAAAACAGTACCTTTCCCTAAAAAATGGGGTCTGACTGAAGGTGTGACCTGCAGGCAATTAGTCCAGGTGGGTTTTGATTCTCTTAATAAATGTCTCTTTTGTCTGGTAGAACATCTGTCTTGTTCCATGTCTCACTCATGGTGACACTTTACCACCAGCAGAGAATCAGTGAATCTGGAGCTCATCTTTCTGGCTGCTCTCTCATTGCCTGACATCTCTGTGTTGCCATGGGAGGAGGAGGAAGTGAGTCAGGGAAGGGAAGCTGGAATTGGAATATCTTGGATGTAAGAGGTGGGGAATGTCATGTGGGGAGGTGCATCTTGACCTCCAGATAAAAAATAGTCACTATTCTAGAAATGTCTCCAGTGAAGCTGGGGGACTGCAAAAGGGAAGGAAGGGTGGATGATGCTCTGGGATCACAGTCATTCTCAGGGAAAATCAATGTGCTTGAAAACTGGGTTGGTCCATTGTTTCCAACTCTATTTCAAAGTTTTTGGGTTCGGTAAAAGTCAGGCCATGTTTTGCCAAACATTTTTTTTTTGCCCTAATTTCAAAGCCCATGTGTATTTTAAGGGAAATTTAATCCACATGTTTCTGATTCATTTACACTTAACTCATCAAAATATTGTTTTGTAAGAGCCATTGGATGTCCAAGAAGCCTCAGGAACCTTTTTTTATGAGTCTTTAAAAATTTTTTTTCTGAAAAACAGGAAGTCATGTTTTGCCAATAATAAACGAACTTGAACCCCAAAAGGCTCAATTTTGCTTCAATATTCACCAGGTTCCAATTGGTTCTGAACTTGGCGAAGGACCACAGCTCCTCCCTAGAAACATACATTGTCTCAGCAGAATGGTTTAGAAAAAGGTTTCTCCGAGTCAAAACATATTTGTTCTCTGAACAAGAAGGTGAGAACTGCCATGCTGTCAGTGTTCTAACTTGTTAACTCTAGAACAGAAAGAAGTAAAGCACCTGCTAGTGGTGGTATGAGCATCTAACTTTTGCTCCCAAATCTATCATAAAAAACAATGCTCTCCTAGGTCAGGAATGACCCACAGTGCAAGAGACTGCCATGAGAGACAGTGAGGCATTCAAGTAGAGGTTGTATAACCATCAGAGAGGGTAAAAAAGGAATGTCTGTGTTGTATAGGATCCTGGGCCAAAATATCTCTAAGGGTTCTTCCCAAATGTAAAACTGTCTCACTACTAATGGTGTTATTGGCATATAAGAGTGATGCAACAGAACTATGGGATTCGATGCAAGTGCAAATTACTGGCAAGATGCTTGGCACAAAGCAAGTGTTCAATACACACTGGAGTGCAGGAGTTGTGTCCATAGACACTTGCTTTGGGTTATTCTACTGGTAAGTTTATACTTTCTCACCAGTCCCTGACTTGACCAAGGATATATATTTTCAGACTACTGGTCAAGACTGAACGGTATGAAGCCAATATGCCCACTCTGGGACGTTTTTGTGAGCTTGGCCTTGTTGGCCACAAATAGATTGAGTCAATAATGTTTCCTCATGACTGTTTGGAGGATGAGGGGGTACAGACAGAGCTCCTGGCTTCCCAGAGAGGGAACAGAGACACTTCTTTGCTTGTGCCTACTTATGTGGGGTATCTGACACCCACTGACATGAAAGAGACTAGTAATCTCAGCCAGTGCAGTGCATCCATTGAGGATTTTCTTTTTTAATGGGAACAAAAAGAACTTCACCCCAATTGTTATCATTAGGGTCATGTGTGGGATGGATTAGTAAAGTCTCCTTCCCTCCCTCCCTCCCTCCCTCTCTTTCTCCTTCTCTCCCTTGCTTCCCTCCCTCTCTTCCTCCTTCTCTCCCTTCCTCTCTCTTTTTCTATGGGGAGGAGGAACTCTAGTGACCAAAGTACAGTGGTACTATTTCCCCAGAGAGGTTCTGGAGTTACTCCCCATAGAAAGAAGAGGAGAGGCTGGCAGAGAGAATATTGAATCTAGATGATTTGAGTAACTTGCTGGAGTCCTCATGCTAGTGAACGTAGAATTCTTAACCGTGCCACCACACCTTCTTCTGGCTGATGTGGTGATATCAAAGTGGAAGGGAGCTAAAAGTCTAAGTCAGAAGTAATGGCTTAATGCCATGTTTCTGCATTCATTCATTCATTCATTCATCAAATATTTACTGAGAACTTCTTTATGCCAATCACTATATTAGACACCAAGAATACGAAGACAAATGGGACACTGGCTCTGCGTTCATGGTATGTATACTCAGAACATTAGTGACAACTTCCATGAAAACGCAAAAGAACATCAGGATGAACGCTTGAATGAGATAAGATGAGGAGTCCTCTGTGAAGATGCTCAAGTCCTGTTAAACCCATGCTGCTGACATTTCCCCCTGAGTCCTCAGACTTATGAAAGCCATGAACTGATGTGCTTCCCAAAAGAGACAAAAGGTGCCAAGAATAAGTTTTCTCTGTTGAAGCTGGGGGTCCACTTTTGGGTGGTTACTCCAGGGCCAAGATGGAGACAAGGAATACAATGTTTCCTTGTGTGGTGATCAGATAACTTCAGGCCAAGGCCATAGAGCAGTCACTCTCTGTCAGGTATTGGATTGAGCTTCCTGTTGAGCAAAAGGGATGTTGAAAACCTCTGGCCTCTGCCCAAACCAGTCTCCTGTCATCCACAATAGGGACTTGTATCTAAAGACAAGACAATTGGCCCCAGGCCTCCAATGCTCAGAGTGATTCTTTTGAAAAATCTTATCATGATAAATTAATTGGCTTGGCTCTTCTCTCATCAAGGAAAGAGAAGGAGCGTCTGTTGTAACCTGACCGCTGGGGCTCTTTGTGCTATCCACAGCCCACGTCAGCCCCTGATGGGCTTGCTGGAATGAAGGTCTGGCTGGAGACACTTGTGCCCAGCCCCCACCCTGTTTCTCTGCATTAAGAGAAAGAATTCTCTTTTCCAGGTCTGCCTACTCTGCTCCTTAAACCTGAAATGATGTAAGAAAGCCATTTATAGTCTAAAGGGCTTTGCATTAGGCTCAGTTTTAAGTTTTTATCCTTATGATACACATGTTTTAAAACATTTTATCTGCCAAAATTTATTTACTGGTTTGAAAGACAATTCTAATGAGACAGCCAGTACTTCAGATAAAAAGGAGTACAACTACACATTACCTACCACGCTGAATTGTTGGGAGGTACAGCCCCTAATTCAGATTTTGTTTAACTTCTTAACCCTTAAAATAGCTGAGAAGATTTTGAAAGACTGAAAATGGCTCTGAAGCTCATGACTACCTTGGGCACACCTTTCACCCGGAGGACCCCTGGTTTGAGATGTGCTGGTCTGGGCTGAGTTTCAGCGGATAGCTCTCCAGCATGCCTCTTAGAAATGTTGACTTACTGTCTCCAGCTCTGCTGGTGAATCGTAGGAACAGAGTTTATGTCTCTTGCTGTGGTTTAGCCAGAAGCATACAAAAAGGCCTGGGCATTACATCAACTGGCACAGAAGAAAAGCTCAGTAAATATTTGTTGGATGAAGAAGTAAATGAATAAATGGCATGCATTTTTATAAATATTTTATGAATAAATACTCTAAGTGTGAGAAAGGAGTTTTCTTGCAGAAAAGCTATTTATCAGAGATCATTTGAAATACACAAAGAGCAGGTAGAATGCAATTCCAGAGGCAGTTTTCAGTGTCTTGAAGAGGTCCCAAATGGCATGGAATTCTAAGAGGAGCCCACAGCCTGAAGCCTCTAGGGTGGCTTCTTGTGCCATCGCTCTGAAGACTTACTTGTGGTGGTTTGTGCAGTGAGCATAAATCCTTAGTTTGTCCCGGATGACTCGGCCTGGCCGTGGCTTCCGTTGCAGCCCAGCCACGTGCACGGCCAAGACTTTGGGGCCGATCAAGCGCTTGTAGAGGAGAGAGAGCCAGTAGTCCTGAGAAGAACAGAGACATGGAGAGTCAGGGGAAGACGCAGTTCAGGTGTTTTGAGTACACCTAGACCAGATAGACCAGAAAGTACTTCTGAGCAGGAGGGAAGCCTGACCAAAGTGACTAACCCTGTAGGCATGGTCACCTGACAAAATGGTCACCCAACAAAACATTCACCCTGGGTTGGTAGTGAAGCCAGCATTGTCTAAAGTGACCTTATGGGGGAATGTGAGTGTGTATGTATGTATGTGTGTGTATGTGGTGGGGGGCGGGGAGAGGAGAGGGGAACAACTCAGAGTTACATGCAATCAAATGAATCAAATTTTCATTTGAAATAAGTTTCATATGAAATAATAACTAGTTGGAGCCTTAAATTTTCAACTTTATTTCCCCATGACTGTACTTTTGTACTGGTTTATGGCTCTGTTTAATTGCAGAATGGAAGATTTCCAATCTTTAGGATTGCTCCCAATATGCAAACCCAAAATGTTATTCTTCAAATATTGTCACTGAGGACGCCCAGTGAGGTGTGAGGGAGATGAAGGTGCTCCAGGTAGAGACTCCAGAATAATGTTAGCAAACCCTAGTGCTAATTCTGGGTCATCTTCATTAATTCTACAATAAAAAGAATAATTATAAACTAAAAAGTATGTGATGTTTTTAACTATTCCATAGTCCATTTGGAACTGGTTAATGAATATTCAATCTGTAACCCACACATGTATTTGAATTTACAAAAGCCTATTCACCAACACTTTAATTTGTATTCCCTATTACCATATTTTGTTTCTGTATTTGATACAAATATAAAATTTGCATTTGCATTGTGTAAGCACTTATCACCTGTATGGGGTAATGACTTCAGTGTTTGTATCTCGTCATTTGTCTAGGAAATCCCCTCCCTTTGCTCCTGAAATTCTGGAATTCAGTGAATTCAAAGTCTTAAAGACATCAACCATGTCTTCTCAGCATTCATCTTTCCAGGAGAAGCCTCTGAATAATATTTTTATCTTTCCTGTGTGGCCATCTATAACATCAGCTGCTTAAAAATGTCTGATGAGCTGCATAAATCAGAACAAAGTTTCAGCCACCAGAATAGATCCACATCTACCCTGAGTAGTGGGCTCTAAACCTTACAAGACCATTTACCTTAATTGACTGTAAGTGGCCTTAGGATGACTATTATATATAGTCTCTATTATTTAAAATGGCAAATATTTCATTGTTAGGCAAATATATACAGCATATCATTGGTTTAATTTACTCTCATTTGATTACAATTTCTGTGTTTTCTTATTGTTACTCTGTGATGTATTTATCACATCTGGATTTTCTTTTCTCTTCCACTGAGCCCTATTTTTTTTTTTATTAGTTTCACATCATTTTAATGATTAAAATTTATGTTTTAATATCTACAGGTTTAAGTCCATTTCATTATAATTTTTCTTTCTTTGTTCAAACTTTCCTTAATTAGTCATATCCATTTACTTTCCCAAATAAACTCAAATAACTTTTTATAGAGTTTGTGGGACTAGAGAAGCTTGAGGCATTAATTTTATTCTATGTTTGGTTTGCCTGTTTATTTTCTACCTCATTTGTTCTGCCAGGATGCTTATAGGAGTCACGTTTTATCATTGATATTTGAACTTTTACCAGGAATGTGTCAGTGTAGGTTTCTGCATTAATTTGCTGGTATTTGGGAGTGCTTTTGATAAGAAAGACTGAGGACTTTCTCCAATCTGTGAGAATGTTCTTTAAATAAGACCTTAATTTTATTTCTTTCTGTTTGCTCCAGTCTCTGTTGCTAGGAGTTCTCTTAGATTTCCATCCTCAATCCTGCACAAGTATAATCTCTTTTCTGTTTTCTATCTGCAAGAAGAAGTCTCAAGTTTATCTTGCACATTGTATATTTATTATCTCCAGGATCTTTTATGTTATTATTACAGTTTTACTCCTCTTGTAATCTTTCCTTGTTTCATTTAGTTTACCTGATTGGAACTCATTTAATTTCCCCCCATTTTGTGTATACTATGTATATTTTCCATATACAGGAAGACATATGTATCTTACATGAAAGTTCTGAGGCATATGAGAACCGATTATCCACCTTAAAAGCTATAATAATACCCACACAGTTGCATCTAGTTATGTAAATCTTCCCTTTCCCATTTTTGTGCTTTTCATTCCTTTGGCTAATATTTTAATTTTGTCTTAAGCAATATATTATTTAGCTTGTTAGCTTTTAAAATCTGGCATCATGCAATATGTAATTTCTATAACTTACTTTTCCACATTATACTTCTAGGATTCATCCAGGTTGTTACACCCACCACAGTTTATTCATTTTCATTGTTGCATACTTCATTGTGAGAACATACTATAATGCATTTGTTCATTCTTCTGCTGATTGATATTTGGGTTGTGTCTAGATTTTTGCTATCGTTTTTTGCTCTCAATGTAGCCTTCAACATTCTTGCTCCTGTTTCCTAAGGTGCAGGGGAAGCAATCTGGAGAAGCATTGCTCCAATTATGACTGAAAACCAGCAGAAGCCTCATCACTGTGTTCTTTGCAAAATTGAAGATTTATAGACTTTATCCCAAACCTATTGCATCAGAGTCTCCAGAGGCAGGGCCTCCAGACTGTCTAGCTCTCCAGGGAATTCTGCTGCTCATTAAAGTTAGAGAAGCACTGTAGAACTGTTGAGAGCAATATCTAAGGGTGGAATTGCTGTGTCCTGCACAGATATAAAATAGTCAACTCTACAGGCTAATGACAAATTGTTTTCCAAAGTGATTCCAATTATTTCAACTTATGCTTCCTTCAAGAAGTTTCTGAGTTCCTTTTTATTCACATCATTGCCAACATCTGTTAGTTTCATACTTCTTAATTTTTGCCTATCTAATGGGCACATAACATCTAGCTCTTGTTGTTTGTTAAATAGTCCTTCCTCATGACTAGTTCATAAAGATATTTTATTTTAAGACTTTTAATGTTTTTTCATAGTTATATCTTTAATCAATCTAAAATTGATCTAGATTGTGGTGTATCTGATTTCATATTTTTCCATATAAATAGTCAGTTATATCAGCATCATTTATTAAATGGGTCTCTCCTTTCTTTAGTGATCTGCAACGTTCTCTGCATCATACATCAAACTTCCATATACTCGTGGGTTTATTTCTGGGCTCTCTATTCTGTCCCATTTTTCTGTTCTGTACCACTACTACATTTAAAAAAATATTTTTATTTCAGAGAGGAAGAGAGAGGGAGAGAGAGAGAGAAACATCTCTCTCAATGATGAGAGAGAATCATTGATTTGGTTGCCTTCTGCACACCCCACACTGGGGATCGAGCCTGCAACCCAGGCATGTGCCCTGACCAGGAATTGAACTGTGACCTCTTGGCTCATAGGTAGATGCTCAACCAATGAGCCATGCTGACTGGCCACCACGAATGCAGTTTTAATTACCATTGTTTTATATGTAATGAAATCTGGTAGAGCAAATCCTCCTATCTTATACTTCAGTAATGGCTTTGCTAATCTTGAGCCTTTACTCAGTCATGGACATTTCAGAATCAGATTACCAAGTAGCTAAACAAAATCTACTGAGACACTGGAACTTCATTGAATTCATAGATCAAATGAAGAGAACTTTATTTTTGTGATACTGAGTTTTCTTATCAATAAAAAGGAGACTGAAAAAAACAACAACAAAAACAAAAAACAAAAAACAACCTCCTTCCACTCAGGGATCTTTCTTCTCTCCTTCCTTTTCTTTTTTCCTTCCTTCCTTTGAAAGTGAAAGTTCAATAAAAAATCTCCTTTCTCACCTGTGTTCTTGTCCACTTCCCTACTTATCCTCCTTCTCCTTTTTAAAATCTCCCTCTTTCACTGTCCTTATCTCTCCCAAATATAAACCAACTCTTAGCTGATCAAATTATATTTCCTTCCTTCTTTCCTTCCTCCCTCTCTTCCTTCTTCCCTGCTTTTGCCTCCTCTCTCTCTTTTCTCACTCTTTCTTTTATTTTACTATGAATATGTGCCTATATAATCATAAATAAAATTAAACAAATCATATGATCTTTATTAAGAAAATGACATAAAAAAGTAGAAAAATTGTCTTTACGCATAGAACAGATAGAAAAGAAAAAAAGAATGCACACATGTCTCAAAGAACAACGATAAGGTTATTGTATAAAAGATGGAATATAATGAGAAGTTTTCAGATAATAAGAGTCCTCAAGAAGGAAAGCAAATATAATGGCTTTTTATGTCAATAAAAAAAAATCCACAACAAGGAATGCATTGCAATTTTCAAGAGACAAAGAGAGACACAAACAGACATTCTTTAAATGTATCAGACATGAGAAGAGATTGAAGAAAAATAGTGTCCATTTATTAGTTGGAGAGGGAAAACTAATAGATGATGACACTGAAATGACAGAGGTTTTAAATCTTTTCTTTTTCTTGAGTATTTGTCAAAAAGTCAATTGTCTGAAAGCTAGACAAAGCAATATATGGAGGAGTAAGTTGAACCAAAATAAATGGGAAAAGAGAAAGAAACTGACAGAAGGTTGCAGAATTTACTGGATTAATCACTGAATCATGTACTCCTCAAGGTCTAAGATTATTTACCCATTCCTACAGCCCATGCCTCGCAGAATGCCTGACCTATCTATAGGAGGTGCTAAAACTCAATTACGGAATACAGACAGCATTTAAGGCTCTATATGGGCAGTAGGGTTACAGGGATGAATAATGCACATAATTTCTTGCCATCCTGAAGTTTATAATTGAGCGAGAAAGTCCTTAAGCCAATGAGTTAGGTGACTAATTAATTAATTTTAATAGTATTAATGGTAATGGAGGAATCTATTGTACCTTATAACAGAAGATGTGACCCAGTCTGGGGACAGGGACAGCCAAGGAATAAGACTTTCATGGAGTGACATTTAAGATTTGAGAAAAAGAGAGGAGGAGATAGAGAGAGTCTTGGGTAAGAG